CATACCCCAGCTTGCTCTCCATGAGACACAGACAGACAGGGAGAGAAGCTTGGGGTCAGAGCGCAGGGTCAGCCATTGTACAGCGCCCCTGGAGCAGTTGGGGTTAAGGGCCTTGCTCAGGGGCCCAACGGAGTAGGACTGCCGCCCGCGGGACTTGAACCGGCAACCTTCCAGTCACAGGCGCAGATCCTGAGCCACAGAGCCACCTCTCCGTATGACCTGAGATGGCGATGGCAAGAATCATCCATCCTGGCTACAGCTGACGTAGCTTTTTTTGTTTTCCGAATTAAAAGTGGTAGAATTGTTACGTAAGGCTACAATAGCAGTTACGTAATAAGAAGATGGTTATTACTGGTTGTGCATTAGTGCATTGACATCCTGTGTAACAACACAGAGAACACGGAGCTACATGTTCGCTGCGCTGGCTGACCCTGCGCTCTGACCCCCAGCTTCTCTCCCTGTCTGTGTGTCTCATCGACAGCAAGCTGGGGTCTGCGAAAAGACACATTCCTAATACAGGGAATTGTATAGGGCTAATAAAGTGATCTTATCTTAAATGCAGCGTCAGGAAGTATTTTCACGGTTTATCACTTGAGCAAGATTTGTAAGAGGATAAACATTGGCTTTTCATTTTGAGAACCAAATTCGAATTCGATATTTGCCGAGGCTATGTGGAATTTTTCTTGATTTAACCTATCATTGTCTGGATCAGTCTCATTATGTATACTGGAGGTTCTGGGCCACAAGTCTTTGACTTTTTTCCAAAGTTACATCAGCTGGTGCCTGTGGCCATGTACGCAAACCAGACCTTGTCCAACATAATTGGCTTGTCTGGGAAATCAACCTGTATATGTTCATATCACGGAACATTAATTCAGTAGTTAAACTTTGCCGTTCTTTGCTGCTTCTTTCCCAGGTGGTTTACACTTTGTTCGAAGCCCTGGAAGAGGAAGAAACACCGAGGGCAAATTGAGCTCTCTTTCCTCTTTTTTAAGATGTCAGGGAACCTCGAGGCTCCAGTCAAGAAGACCTCCAGGTCCTTGTCTTCGATCCCTGAAAAAAAATTATTCTGGAAAAGAGACCGAATTGCATTCTGCTCATGGAGGACTAAGAAAAATGTAACCCTCCCTGTTTCTTTTCATATTTGAATGGAGAGAATGTGACAAAAATACCCTCATTAAGAAGAAACTTTTGTGTTGGGGATATATATTTTTTATAAGATGGCTAAATGCTTTTTCATGGAGCTGGAACCTATAAAGCGTTAATCTCTTAAAGAAGACCATCCTGCCTCCTGGCCAGGAGGGCCACAGGCCAGCAAACCAGGGAAACCTGTTAACGAGGGTTCCCGAACAGTAAATGACAAGCTCAGCTGGAAAATAACTTTGGGAACCTAGTGGGGTGTTATAAAATAATGTGTGAGCATGGCAGGCTGTGTCAGTGTCCATTGTGGGTAGAAATGAGACAGAATTCACTGCTTCACTTGGATTAAGACAAAGCAGGCAGCCATGGACAGGCTAGACGATTTACAGGGCTATTTTTATATTTCTGGGGTTAGAAATAATCAGCGTTGACGAGTGCCCTTCAAACCACAACGAAAGTAAAATGTACACATTTACTTGTGAAACCTCCAATTTACAACACCAAACAGACAACATTTCCAGGTATGCGCAGTGCCATATTCTACAACTCAGAACAAGGCAACAAAACCTACAATGCCTTATGACACTGTAAACCAGCAGGCTTGTGAATACATCTCTTTTGATCCTCTTGATACAAGTCTCGATTTTGAGATGGTTTTACTACTTGTTAACTCTGCGTGCGGATCACAGATCATTTCTGCAGTGAAGTGTCTGCTGCACAACCTGTCCTTATTTGCTTGTACATCACAAATTAGTCATCACAGTGACTAGTGAACAGGAAGGGCGGCCTCACGTCACAATTCGTGGGAACTCTCACTCTCACCCGAGACGAGACCAGGGGTTTGTGACAACATGGCGTCTTACAGCACTCACATAAAGTTCACAATTTTGTGCTTCGTTCAGAATCTGTAAAAGGTTTCTCTACCGTCAATGAATGGATTCTTTTTTTTTTAACCAACATTTAATAACCAGTCTGGGAAATCAGGACTGTATATACAAGTTATACGAGCTTTGTAACCTCATTATTAATTGGATCGCACTATAGATTGTACTAAGAGAAAGATCCTTTAGATATCTGCCCAGTCATACCTCAGAAATTCTCTAAGGTGGAACAAAGGTGTGTCATTTGTCTGTAACAGGTTTTAAAATACGGGGAGCCAAGTTCGTCACCTTGTGCGCTGGACCCAGAGCCTTCTTCCTCAACATGTGTACCTGTTCGCTGCCCTGACCCGGGAGCTGGCACTGAGAGACCCTGCTCTAGCGACGGTACAGAACCGGGATATACATCTCACACCCGCCGTGCTTTTTGTAAAGGTCAGGCGGCCGCCTGTAAACACATTTCAGAGGGAAGCTGCCGAACCCTACCCAAAGAATTTGCTCGGATGACGATTGTGGGTTAAAACCTGCAAAGGGTGAAGGGAAGGGGAGCGGATGAAAACGAAAAGAAACACGGGACAATGGCAAAAGCAGCAGTACAAAAATCCACAGCAACGTTTCCAACAATATGCTAAAAAGTAACAAAAACAACAACAGCAATAATAGGTTTTTACAAATATTTTGCATCAAACAAAAATTGTTTGCCGCTCTTTATTGTTGTTGAGGTGACTGCTGCTTTCTTGTGTCTTGATACAGAAGGTTCCCCGGCAGGAATGGCAGTCAGCTTGGGGGAGGAGGCAGAGAGCAAGGCAGCGGATGTGACTGGCCAGGACCCCGGGGAAGGCTCTTCTGTGAGGCTGGTGCAGAAAGGCAGAGCAAGCGCAGAGGCTGGACAGGACGGGCGCACCCTTCCGCTGCGTGCGGGCAGCTCCGGCTCCGGCAGGAGGAGAGTTTTTTTCACCTCCGGGCGCCTGCCCTTCGGGAGAGAAAGAGCAGGGGGGATCTTGGGCCGCCGGTCTTTAAATACCTCTCCGGGGGCGTCCACACGCGCAGCGTTCCCCCCAGTGTGTCTTAAAGACACGCAGTCCCGCCCCCGGGAGGCAGCCTCCTCTATGAAGAGAGTGTGGTGCTGTGTTTCCTGGGGGCGCTGCTGCCCCTGCTTGTGAAGGACAGCACAAGGGCCCGAGGGCCTGCCGTTCCAGGGAAAGGCAAGCACAGATCACAACGGAGCTGAGACATCTAACCCAGCACCCCGAAAGACCCAGCTTCTTCCCCGGAAGCAGTCCCATGGCCAAGTGCCCTTCTGTCCCCAGAAGACAGCACTCACATTAAAGTCAACAGCTGACCGTTCTGATAGAACAGTCCCGGTATTCAAAAGATTTACTCTGGCTGTGTTGCACTAGGTGTTTGTTTGTTAACCTTCACAAGAAAAAGAAAAATCACCATGAAGTTAGCGCTTAAAGTTTGCACGCACACAGACTGGAACAATTCGCTTCATATCCACAGCCCAGGTAAGGTATAATACTGAGAGCTTTGTTATGCCTCAGAAAACAGCAGGTGTTTTGTTCTGCCAATTAGACAATGTTTCCACACCTGAAGTGGCACAGGTTTTACCCCTTCAGCCCTGCCAAAAGTGTTAAGATGATAACAATACTCGGTTATTCTTAGACAGTGCGTTCGCTCCAACCAATCAGTTCGTCTCGTGCCAGGTATCAGCCACAGCTTCATTAAGGATGCAAAAACCTTCAATTTGTCTTAGCAATGAACTTGTGTAACATCTCCAAATGAGAAAGTAGAGTTTCAAAATCAAATAATACAGGGGGTTGAGGGAAAAAATGTCAAATATGTGAACAGTAAAATATGACACAGAGGATCTAAACAAGCTCTTATTTTTGCATGACTGACAGTGAAGTTCTACAGGGGCTAGGACAGCTAAATTAACTGGCCAGCCCTCATGGCATTTGCCTAGTCGAACCTGCAGTGAGCGAATGACCGAATGAGCAGTGAAATTCATAGTCCCCTCACTAGGACACTTCAACCCTCACTTATATTGGGAGAATCTCACATGTAAGACCAGTTCACGAGAAGGGCGATGGAATGGAATCAGGAAGCTAGTAGCTATCAGACCCATCAGCCATGCTGTGGTTCCCAGTATAGTTACGTATATGAGGGTCACAGCCACGTGAACAGCAAACTGTGGCATATTAAAAGACTGGATGATTTAGAAAAGGGAGTTCTTGCGAAACATGCTAGAAATGCTCAGACTTGTTAAGAGACCTCAGGATAGCACTGGAGCATGCGGTGTGGTACAGATCAATTGGCCTTGTGCCACATGCAGAACCAAGTACATCAGAAATACATCAGAAAGAACACGATGAGAGGAGGCCCTGAGGCCCATCGTGCACACTTGTCCTATTTCTCTACCGCCCCAGAACAAGGTCCGTTTGTACTGCTTTGGAACCAACACCCCCACTATGAAATTCCCTCAATGAAAAGGATAGTTTACAGTAGCCAGCCAAACCTTAACCTGCAAGACTCCGGGAAGTGGGAGGGAACTGGAATAAACACAAAGAGAGGTGGAACATGCAGATTCCACACAGACAGGCACACCAAGCTGGAATCAAACCCATGATCATGGGGATGTGAGTCAGCATTGATAACCACCAAGCAAGCCTGGTGAGAGAATCTGTAACCCTGCTTTCATCTGATGAAGTGGACCGCCAGCAGGACTGCTGCGTGGGTCTTCAGTAAACAGCTCTGTTTTCTCCATGATACATATTAAAAGGAGAGAAACATGTAGGGTGGGGTGGGGGGTAGGGGGCAGGAGGGAGATGCAAATGCTGTTTACCTCTTCACAGCTCTGATGAGAGCGACAGAGAATTGAATTCATACTGAGAATGTAATAATTGACTTGGATGCCTGCCATGTTCTGAACATCTGTTGGGTCGAGAATTACATCACCACACCTTCTGCTGAAAGAGGAGGGAGGTGGCGAAGTGGAGCGACTTCTTATAATTTTTTACATCTCTCCTGTAGTGTGTGTGCATGCAGGCAGGTGTATATATACAATGTATACTGTTTATATGACATGCATACACCCAGAGTAGCTTCACATGCGTATGTAGACACATACATCTAGTGTATAAAATCTATTTGTAGACAGTTTGTGAAACAAAGTAGTTTTAATGAACAGTTATTTTCTAACTGACGCAAGCTCACGTGAACTAAAGTCAGAAATCGTTTAAAGATTTTTGGGGGTTGAACACCCATAATTGGAAGGAAGTTCTGAAATGTATTGCTCACTAGTCATCTGGGCAGGTCCAATCAGTACAATCCCATCTCGAGATTATTCCTCCCCCTCAAGTGGTGGGAGTCGGAGGGCAGGTGTGAAACCAGGCCAAACGCTTCAGTGATGAAGACTGAACCCCCTAGTGTGTTGGAGGTGTGTGATTGTGTAAATTTGGAATATCAGCATTTCTGTAGACAGTGAGGCGTAACTTCTGTAGAATGAATACAAATTAGTGCTCTGCCATTTCTGTTTAGCTGGGAGCCCTAAAATAAAAATCTATTCAACTGTCAACTTTCAACTTAAGCTCGATCTGTTCTTTCTTAAATGACACCTCTTCCAAATTGCCTACATGTTCTCATATTTAACTGACTTGCAGTTCTGGTACTGTCTGCCTACTTCACAACCTCGATTTATTGGCTCACAAAAAGGCTCCAGGGTGAAAATACCGAAATTGTCAGGTTTTTGAAGGACTTAAACCCATGTAAGATACTGAATTTAACACACTGACCTCAATGTGTGTCCAACTGAAGGATGTGGAAAAATAATTGCCTGGTAAAATGCCCCCTTCACAGTTTATTAAATGTTCCGTTGCGACCTGTGCACATTAATGTTACACTATTGTGTTAAATTGTGAATTAATAGTGCTCTGAGGCACTGGTTGAGTTGACAGTAAATGACCCAATTCGAATTTTTGTTCTAAATGAGGAACTTTCTGTCAGCACGAGAACCTGCAGCGTCACACTGACTTGAAAAGGCTTATCTGAAGAAAACAAACGAAAAAAAAAAAAAGCGAGTCAAGACTCCTTTTTCTTCTAAGCCAAAAAAATAAAATCCACTCAGGCTGTGAACATCGCGGTAACACGATGAATCACTGTGACCAGGAAGGTGTGCTGGCAGAGCCCCGGCTGTACAAGTAAACACAGGTACTTGGTGCAGTCCCCACATATCTGTGGGAAGAATCCAGTCTGGAGAAATGTTGTGGGATGTTTACTGCTGTAGATAGATATGTTTAACCTGAAAGGTTCATTATCCACAATGATGAAAGAGGCTTAAGCACAATACTGCAGTTCAAGCCCACCCTACCCCCTACCCTCCAAGCCCCTCTGTTTAAATTGCCGAATTGGTAAAAGCCAGCTCTGTGGCACTCTCGTTTAAAAAGTGAGAAATTATAATTATCAGAATTATGCTTTTAATGATGCGTTAATTAGACTCCTAGAGTGAGATTAGCGAGCGCTTATGAATTATTAACTGTCGAATCTTTCCTGCCGACATTTTATCACAAGAATTGGAGTTTTTTTTTTCCCCGTTCGTGAGAAAAAAAACTATTTTCGTGTTGCTGAGTGATTCATGTGATCTGGAATAGCAGAACAGCCTGTTCTACATATGTTTATGGCTAATTATGGCTTTTTTTCCCTGTAACCTCATATTAGATTTCAGAAATGATTTAGCCTGTTGTCTTGAGATTATTACTTTGTCAGGTGTACTAAATTAACCTCAGGCTACCAATAATGTAACATTTTATTAAGTATCTGGCAGATGAAGATACAACTTATTTCTGTTTAAATACATGCAGACACACCTTGCCACACATCAAATACGTCTGAGAATAAAATGAGCTATTATCACACGTACAGTAGATGAACTTCATATACACAATGATATACGACTTGCTAAGTACTTAATATTTCAGTGTTTGCATGGAACACAAAGATATAAATACATTAATTGTATTTTCAAACATATTGAGGAGAACCAGCTACCAATCCAAAATATTTTATTTGTTTGCCCTTGTCCATATCATTGCATGCCCTGGACAGCATTTGTCCAGTACAGTCGTAACCACAGGCATTTTGCTCAAAATGCTGCTGAAAACAAATCAAACCTCATCTTTGCTCAAGTTCAAACCAGCGATTACTCCTAAATGATGTTTTAGCTGAGTTAAACAAACACCAGGGTCAACAAACATCACTGCCACTCCGACTTCAGGTAAAAAATTAACAGAGCATGGGGGCAGGATTTGAATAATCCCTCGCTGTGATCACTTTCTTGCTGGTTTTGAATTTCTAAGAGCCCCTCTTGGTTAAGGCCACATCGGCCTTCACAGTCGTCTTGACGGGGCAGAGTCACGCTCTTCCACCGGCTGTGTAAACTCTGCGATGGAAATCAGCCCTGCTGATTTGCAGAAAGTCAGAACCATTACCTGCCCATCGAGCGCAATTTGCAGACGGGGCCATCCTGACATGGAGGCCTTTCAGATGTTTCACAACGTCACAGTCCCTGTCTCAGTCCTGCACAGAAACAACAACAAACCCCCCTGCTTCCTGGTGCTATGAGCTCTGTACATTTTACATTTTTAGGTGAGCAACATTTCACAACATAACAAGCCGATTCCAAAAACAGAACAAGATTGTCTTCGCCAGTCTCCACACTGGTACCCCTCCATGTTTTGTAACAAAGGACCACAGAAATCCACACTCCTCGCCCAGCTGTGACTTCTTCTTACATTTCCTTCAGCTGCGTCTCCTTCCCCTCGCTCGTCATGAAACGTCCTATTCAAGAACATACGTACAGTTACAAGCACGAGCCGCCTATAAAGCCGTTTTCTGTTTCAAACAAACGAATTAAAGGGTTAAATGAACGTTTGTTGATGGTATACACATCACAGAACATGATTCTGCTCCAGGAAAATCTTTGATTCCCATCTGTCAGAGCTGTAGACTTTCAATGTTAAGGCCATCTGAATTTCAGTGTAATTCCCCTAATCTCTGCTGATGTGCTGTGGTACATTTCTGAAAGGGGGGCTTTTCTCCAGTTAAACTTGGCTTTGCTGGTGAATGCAAGAAAGGTATTAGGAACGTCACATATTTCTTTTTCACACATTGAACTTTAAAGTCTTTCAAGTGTGGCTGATTCTCCCAGTCAAATCGTTGTCATCTTTAATGGGGCCTGTCTTTCTCTATGGTGTCAAGTTGCAAGATATGTTAAACCTGATTCCAAAATGTTCCATTTGTTGATTTTTGTAGCCTCAGCCCAAAAGACTCTGTAGCAGGGTTCAAAATGCAGCTTTATACTTCTTCTGTCTTATTTTGAGAGC